AAGGGAAGGGAAGGGAAGGGAAGGGAAGGGAAGGGAAGGGAAGGGAACGAACGAACTGACTTCCATGGCAGACTCTTCAAGGCTCCACTGCATGGTGCCGGATCAGAACAAAAGCATCTCAAAAGTGGCCAAAGTTTCCTTACCTGTTACAACTGTCTTTGATCGCTACTGGTAACAAGAAGCTGTTACTAGGTTGGAGGCCATCATGGCCATCGCTGTTAGGGTGGAGGCCATTACCACTAGTCACTAGTAATAAGAAGCTACTGTCTTCGTTCACCCCGCTCTCCTTCAAGAGTGGAATCCTCGTCCAAAATGTCTCCAAAGACCAGTTTGGACACGGCCTTTCCCTCCTTACAGATGCTTCATGACAAGACCTTCTTGGATGTGCTTGACCACAGTATGAGGCTTCACTTGCTTGTTTCAATTGAAATCATTCCGACATCAACTTGGTCTTCTGCACGCGCACAGGGGTAAATGTCACAACACTGGCTCTGCTGGACACAAGGCCTCCGCAATGTCTGACACACGGTCCATCACATCGGACACCTGCCAAACCAGGAATGGTATGGCATGTTGATCCTATCACAAAAGTGCACAAAGGGGAGTCCAAAAGAAACCAGTCACGTGCTGCTAGTGACCAGGTAATCTATGGCACCTTGCTCTGCCGAGGCAGCGCCCAAGATCCCAGGATGGTGCCGGAGAGCAACTGGACATGGACCTCCACAAGCTCAGAGTCCTCACGCCACGAATGCGCTCACACATCCCCATCTGTGATTCTCGCAAGCCTGCTCGGGCGTATGCCAATGGCATCGTGAGCTGTTGGAATGCCAGGGAGGTCCCTGAAATAAATATCTGAATTTCGGTTTATGTTGAGTGAGTGGCACTTCGCAGGAACGATGTTGAAGATAGTAACATGTCCAGAACATTTGGCTTGCATATTGTGATCAATACAAGTCATATCCAGCAGGAAAGGTAAGGGCTCAAAGGACATGTTTGACGAATTCCAAGCCTTTGAGACTTTATAGACGAATTACTGTATTGATCTTGGGCTAAAATATATGGGAGTGATTAATAGCCTTAATTGCAGAGATAAAATGACAAGGAAAAAAGACAACCTGGTATATACAGTAAGTGAATCAAACAACTTGGACGGTTGTACTTTGCCAAATGTTTATCCAAGCCAATAAGGGCCATAAACAAATCAGCTGGCTTCCGCTCTGCCATCTTGGAGTCTACATGTCACAATATGTGGCGCGAGAGGTGGAATTGTTCGGTCTGAAGCCAATGTGTCGGAGACAGTTTTGTCTCGGCGCTTTGAAACGGCTACGCACCAGGGAAGCAAAGACCGAGTTCTATGTGGAAAAGCAGTGGCCTAGAAATAAGGCAATAGGTCCAATATATATCAGGACATGCTGAGATTATCTCACTGAGATTTGGTGCCGGCACAACTCTCAGCATTATGCTGCTTCTGAACACGTTACACCAGTTGCGCACAGAAATTTGGTGAACATTATGATGAAATATGATGAAACTGCCCTCTTTTCTGACATCCTTTGGTGGTGTGTGGCTCCTTGGTCTCTTTGATGCGTCGCGCCAAGTCCAAGACTTTCTCCCGCATCAGCGTGATCTCCTTTCGCAGCGGCATCGCACCTTTCATCGGCCTCGCCAGGAGCTCAAGCTGCTCCAAGACCTGTGGCTGCACATCGGAATGACCACTTCAGTTGAGCAAACTCAGCAACCAGCTACTGTATCAAATGGCTAGCTCGGGCAAACAACTCTTTTCTGTTACTTTTGCTGTTCGTCATGGATGTGTTTATGGCCTTGCAATTGCTTCAGTCTCATTGCAGTGCTACCTTCCTAACAGGCAAAGCCATTCGCAAATAGGAGTGTCAACAGGCTTGCAGCCAAGCATGCATTTGTGTAGCATTGTGGTCCGGTATGCGTGCCAAATAGCACAGCATTTTGGACAAAAGAACTTCTCTTGCAACCAGCAGCCCAGGGGATGCCAAAGCAAGCAGGGCTAAACATGCAATGTAATGCGACCAGGACAGCTCCAGAATGCAAAAAAGTTGCGATCGCAATCTGATTCTAGTGTCTCAGGTCTTCAGAGTTAAACAGCTCTAAAGGTGTAAGACTCCCTATAATACAATAGCGATGGCCTCCAACCAGAAAACGTATGACTCCCTGTAGCTTCCAGCAATCTGAGGCACAAGTTTGTAGAATCAACAGTTACAAGGCCAATCTCTCTGGAGTCGGGACTTACATGACTCTTGCAGCTCTGGCGTTGTTAGCCTCGAGGTTAGGAACTTCTTCCATCGCGGGATTCGAAGTCTCCATTGGCAAAGCGTGGTAACTCATATATCGTACTATAACCTAATGGTAATGGCCTCCAACCTAGTAGCGATGGCCTCCATGAGCTTGGCGTTGACCAATTCTATGATTTCTATGCTGGAACCCTGAAACTGCCATGGTCTGTCCAACTGTTGGAGCGGCCCCCCTTTTTGCGGAGGTATACCACAATCTAAGCTTGTTTACGTTCTCCTTTCTTGCAGCCTTTCTTGAAGCATACCACAAGCAAACTGATATGTGACTGTTGGTGCAGTCCGCGGCAACTTTGTGAGCCAAACAACTGCGATCCCAGCCAAGTAGTCAACTTTTGACAATAAGTGTCAGTGTCAGCCTTCCTGATGCACAAAACTCCAACCAGGCCTATCCAAGCCTCGCCCGACACCTAAGCGAACTCTTAGTGAACCATTCCAAAGCAGCAGCGCTGCCAAGTAAGTAAGCCTACGAAGTAAGCACAACACACAACCGTCGCCAAAGTCGCCCGGGTTTCCTCAAAGCTCAGCTTGTGAACGAACGCACCTTCCCCCTCTCAGTTTTCTCTCTCGCACTCACTCACTCACTCACTCACTCACTCCCTCGCTCGCTCGCTCGCTCGCTCACTCACTCACTCACTCACTAACCTCACCTCACCTCACCTCACCTCAACCCAACCCAACCCAACCCCCCCCAACCCCACCCCACTCACTCTTTTCTCTCCCCCTCTCTCTCTCTCTCTCTCTCTCTCTCTCTCTCTCTCTCTCTCTGTCTCTCTCCCTCTCTCTCACCCCCCTCCCTCTAACCTCCCTCTTTCTCACCTCCCTCTCTATCCTTCTGCTCTTTTCTTGACAATCTCTGGTCCTGTGCCTTGCAGCTGTCGGTTTGCCGGACATCCCCACTATGAAGTGAAACACTCAGTACGGGGCCAAGGACATATCCACAGTCAGACCTAGCAACAACCACAGAGTAGTCAAGGAAAAAAACTCTGCAAAGCATGGAGTGGAACAAAGGCTTGGCATCAAGCCACCAGCCACTTTCAAGCACCTCGGTCGGGCAAAAGACTGCAGCACACACCAGCCGCCGGTGGCTGCACATCTAGCTGGGGCATAAGGCTGGGGTTGCATTGCCATCCATGGCATGGCTGACAAAGTGGCTCCCAGACCTGGGGTGCAATGCCACTTGGCGCAGCCATGCAAACCGTTTGCCCAATATGATCACCCAAAGAAAAATGAAGCAATATGCTCCTAGTAGCGATGCCAGGAGCCCCTAGTAGCATCCTTGCTCCTAGTAGCGATGCCCTTTGTTACTAGTAGCTTCTTGTTCCTACAGTGTGCGAAAAATTCACAGCAAAGGCCCGCGCAGACTGACAAGAACAGACCCTCAGGTGGGAAACAGCAGAATTGGCGTGGCCATGCGTGGCCATATTGACGTTTTGGAAAACCTTTTGGCAATTAATTTATGTGGCTCATCACAGAATGGAACTGGAAGAAATCCGCATCATGCAGTGGCTAATCACTGTATGACACATCTTGGATCTTCATGTTGAACTGTTTGTGCCTGATGCAATGGGGGCGCCATCAACTTTTGCATTGCAGTCTCCCGTCCTGAACTTGCCGAACCAAACGATGCGTTGCATTGCCGCACATGTCGGCAAAACGTGTCGATCATCCTCCAACATGCTGCAACTGTGAACGAATTGAACTCTTGCACCTGGGGCTTTGGATGAATGCCAATAGGATTTTAAGGTTTGGACGAGTGAAACTCCACTTCCACCTGAAAATTTTGAGCACAAAAAGTTGGCACCGCTTCTCCGTAGCTGAGCTTTCTGCCACACACCAGAAGCCAGTAAGAGGCCTTCAGCAAAAATTGCACAAAAAGGGAAAGTAACACAACAATTTGTACCAATCCCCAATTTGTTCAACAGGACCTGGAATCATCGGGAGGTTTAGCCTGGTTTAGCTGTCTTAAATGTTGGTCGGAGGGCGAGTTTTAATGGTTTTCTTGTTTTTGTTCTTCTTCACGAAGCAAACCAAAAACCAATCATGACGCCCACTAGCGGAGAAAGTGCCGAATGTGCTGTACAAACAAACGAACCGCACCAACAACCAACAAACAATTTCATGTCGCACGCCACCAATGTATCTGGCACCTGAAACCCTGAAACAAAATCCAACGAAGAAACAGTCACGAAAATCAAGGTCAAACTAGCACTGCTGACTGGCATGTTTCTGTCGCGGGGCGCTGGGCATGTGCTCTGGACGACGAGTTACTGGTCGAGTGTTCTTTTCCAATATTTTTCTGCTGGAAGGTGAAAAGGGTAGAGTTTGACCTGTTGACGTCCCTCCTTGAGGACAAAAATGTGGGCTATGACAACACCCACGACAGGCACACCAAGGTGCAAGAGCAGGTGATGAAGCGTGCGCAAATACAGAGGGTCGGAGCATGCAGTGCGCAGAGAAACGGAGAAACGTGGTGAAATTGCGGCTGGCTGACATTCCGGTGCAGGCTGCCGTTCAGGGCCAAGCACCAATTGTTCAACCTTGACGTTGAACAACTTATCTGGCAGGCGAACTAAAGAATCACACCAGTTATCTTGCCAAATTAGCCCAGCTAGAGACCCCAATAGCAAGATACAAACCGAGACAAAAAGAAAAATCTGGAAACAACTGTTGTTTTCAACACATCGACCATCTCTTCCTTGAACACCATCATCACATAACCGGGGCACCATCACAAAATGACCAGGGCACCATCAAAACATGACCGAGACACCGTCACAACATGACTAGGACAATCAAAACATGATCGGGACACCATCACAACATGGCCGCGCCACCATCACATGATCGGGACACCATCAAAACATGACCGGGACACCATCACAACATGACCGGGACACCATCAAAACACGACCGGGACACCATCAAAACATTACCGGGACACCATCACAACATGACCGGGACACAATCACATGACCGGGACACCATCACAACATGACCGGGACACCATCAAAACATGACCGGGACACCATCAAAACAGGACCGGGACACCATCACATGACTGGGACATAATCAAAACATGACCGGGACACCATCACAACATGACCGCGCCACCATCACATTATCGGGACACCATCAAAACATGACCGGGACACCGTCACAACATGACCGGGACACCATCAAAACATCACCGGGACACCATCACAACATGACCGGGACACCATCAAAACAGGACCGGGACACCATCACAACATGACTGGGTCACAATCAAACCATGACCGGGACACCAGCATCACATGACCCGGACGCCATCAAAACATGACCGGGACACCATCCGCCCACCAGCTCTGACGGTGACCCGACGGCGCCCGTCCGCCTATTAGTTTTGCAAGACCCCATAGCATGGCTATTGGGGAATTTGTTTGACGTGCAAAAAAGCAGCCTCCAGGACGTTCTATTTATCTCTTTGGCTTCAGTGCGCAGGGCATGTGTACACGCTGTGGGTCAGCCAAACGTCTTGTTGCACTCCAAACGGGAAGGCTCCTGGAGATGATTTCGCTGCGCCAGCCATCCTGCTTTGCGGCACCTGTGGGTTCCGGTCTTTGACCATCCGTTTTGGTGTGACCACGACCCCTCTGGCATATTATCTGTTGCGGATTCCTCCTCCTTGGCATGCCCCACCGGCCTTCAGCTCCTCTTCGCCGATCGTCCGACACAAAAGCTCTCCAACTGAAGTTGCTTCGGTTCTCCTCTCGACCTGGGTCTTTCCGGATTTTTTCTATTTTTTGGGATCTGGTTTCGGCACATCCATGGTCCATGGCTAATGTCATGTTTGGAATTGTTGCGCTTGTCCTCAGGGTTTTCTACAATCCTGAAATTCTCTGTAGTTTTGTCTATGTTTTCCTGGTTGATCATCACCCTGTTTGTCTTCAACCATGAGGTCTCTTTCGGCCCGCTTTCCCATGCAAGTTTGCGCGAATGCCGAATGCTACATCAACATCGTCTCTTGCAACACTGTCATGCCCATTCTAATTGGCAATGTGGGGGCAACATCACAGTTAACATCCTCTTCCTAAGTTTTGAAAATCCCACGTGCAGGCTGCGAGCCCTTCGTCGTAGCACACAGGGTGTTTGGCACTTCTCCGCCCGTCTGCTTGGTTGCACGTGCGGAGGAGGCGGCTCGCTGCGGCAGGGTCCGCCAGGGGGAACACCTCGGGGAGAAGTCCGTCCGCCCACAGGGCGGAGCGCCCCACGCCTTTGCATCGCCAAGCCTTTGACTTCCCTACGTTCCATTTGGAACCTGCCTTCTGCTTGCAAAACGCAGTCGTTCCATACATTTCGACCACCGGGCAAACCGCGCCCGATCTGCTATGCTCCCACCAAAGTATCTGCAAGACCCCCCACCCGTTGGATCCTTTGGATTGCACGCTACCAAGCTGTTGCCGGCTGAGTCATATGCCTGTAAGGTTTTCGGTCTTTAGTCACATTGGCGGGCAGGCGGCGTTGGTTTGTTGTCACTATAATTCTGGCCCTTCAGACTTCATGCCATGAATTCCCGGCTGTTCAATCTCATCGGGTTTCTTGTCGTCTAATTTAGCCCCACACCCACCTAGGTATGAATACCTTAAAAATGCGGACTTTTCCGGCTGGTCTCGAACCGCTGCGGTTTGCACAGTTCTTGTTTCAAAGTGTGCGCGTCATCCTTACACAGCAGGGTGGCCACGCTATCTTCTCACACCCCGCCTTAGGGTTCACTGGGTTCTCAGTGAGCCCTGCTCTTCACAAAAATCGAAATTCTAGCGTAAAATTTGGCCCCTCGCAAAGCTGACTTCACTGTTTGCTTCATGCATTGGTTGCACGATCATGTACTTCATCTTGTCCATCAGTCAGTTTCATCTGGGTCTTGTTCTCTTTGTTCTCGTCATGTTCTCCTTCGTTGCAACCACCATTGGTCGCGTTGGGTTCTTCTTCATCCACTTCATTTTCTTCGTCTACCTCTTCATTCTCCAAGTTGTAGTAATTCATCTCAATCCATGCATCTGGGTCTTCGCACTCC